AATCAGAGCAAGGTTTGGGCTCTGAAAGTGAAAGTGCCGAGGCGCATGACACGTTTCTTGGAAGCTTGAGGTGTGAGGGCGTGCCTGGAACCAACACAGTATCACAAGGCAGTTAGGAACGCCGTTCAAACGATGCTCGGCAACACAGCACAAGGAAGCACACCAAGCAAAACAGAAGTCGTTATTCGAACGACGGCCTAGCAAGGGTGACAAGGGGCAGGGTGAACGGGGAAGGCACGGTGCGGAGGGGCTAGTCGACGGCCTTCGGATTCTGCGGAGGGTTCGTCATCCCTCTTGGCCTCAGAGAGTGTGTGTGTGTGTGTGCTTGATCAAGCCGACAACTTGTCTATGTAGTTGTACTTACCTGTTTCTCTTGTAGTTTATATCTTGAAGATTATATACCTGGACCTATCTATCTAACTAACTACCTCACCAGCTACCTAGCCTGCCTGCCTGCCTGCCTACCTACCTACCTGCCTGTCTGACTATCTATCTATCTATAAGTTTATCTATCTGTCTGTCTATCTATCTATCTATCTATCTATCTATCTACGGTCAACTGATCTACCCATCCACCTATCGATCCATCGATCTATCCATCGATCTATCCATCAATCGAACTATCTATATGTCTATCTATCTATCTACCTATCTATCTACAGTATCTGCCTATCTGTCTGTCAACTGATCTACCGATCTGCCTATCTACCTATCAATCCATGGACCTATCAATCAAACGAACTATCTATGTGTCTATCTATCTACCTATCTATCTATCTATCTATGTGCTACGTGCTTCTTAGTTACTCGATTGTTCACTTATTATGTGTATAATATATACAAACATATGTACTTGTTTATCCGTCTACGAATTTATTTTGCTTTGCATTCGTCTAATGATCACAAGCATGTTGTTGAGCAGAGTACTGTGTAACGGCCATTAACCACGAAATGCTGGCAATGTTTCTGCCATGATAGCATCGGCAGGCAGCAGGGAGCTCTGGTGCTGGTGGGAACAGACGCAGCCGCAAGAGGCTTTTGCTTTGTTGATGCTGATCTTGTTGTCGTAGGGAGTGGTGGCAGCAGTCATAAGAACACCAGCAGCAGGAGGAAGAGGCAGTGGCAGTGTTGCAGTAGCAGTAGCTTAGCAGTAGCAGTAGCAATAGAAACTATTGAGAGAAGAAGTAAGAAGCAGCAGTAGCAGCAGCAGGAGCAGGAGCACGAGGAGCAGGAGGAGCAGGAGCAGGAGGAGCAGGAGGAGCAGGAGCAGGAGCAGGAGCAGGCGCAGGAGCAGGAGCAGGAGCAGGAGCAGTAGCAGCAGTAGTAATAGTAGTA